ATTGCTACTTATGACAATGATAATAAATAATGGAAATAATGGAACCTATCAAAAAATCCCCAAAATAAATGAAAAAGAAAGTTTAGTAAAAGGAATATCTTGAGAGCCATATCTTATTACATAAGGGCAACAAATGTAGAATTAGATTTGGGGTTTGGGGTTCTTGGTTTCTGTAATTTGTATTCATCTTTGTCCCACTTTCTTAATGTAAACACTGAGATGATTTTTCTAAGTTCCTTCTGGCTCAGAAATTCTGTAGACCTAAAAACATTTAGTACAGATTATCAAAGAAAAAGAAAAACAAAAGAACAGTTTGAGGAAAGAAGAACTAATTAGCCAGCAAAATAAATAAATAAACTACTCCATCTGAATTTGAAGTTGGACTTGTGAAAACATGCAATGAAGTTTTTCAAAGAGGTAGGTGACATTCCACACCTACTCATAGCCATTCCAATCCCCACCCTCACTGGGAGCAGAGGAGGTTAGGCATGTATGCTAGATTTTCTCTGGGGCAAACCAAGCCTCTAAGCACTCTTTATGACCCTGTGGATACTAACATTTGAGTCAAGGCCATGAGGTAAGAACTTGCTACTTGACTGGGTCACCAAGGTTACTTGTTACTAAAACTGAATTTGAACTCACTTGCAGCATAATTTTCTTAGTATGCCCAAGCCATCTCTTAAAAAAAAAAAAAAGTCTAGGAATTTTTAAATAGGGAAAACATATTCTAGTTCCATCAAACATCTTGTAAGTGATCAGAAAACAGACTGAGATATAAATATGGTATAAGGTAAGACAACTTATTTGAAAATCAAAATTAAGTAACAATTAGTAACAGCTAAAATAATAGGTGAACATACTGACTATTCTTCATTTGAAAAAAAAAAAGGTATTAGTTTGTTAAATACGGATGGTCCCCGACCTGGTGCTGGTTCAATTTAAAAATTTTTCAACTTCACAATGATGCAGAAGTGATACACATTCAATAGTATCTGTACTTGGAATACCCATACAATCATTCCGTTTGGCACTTTCAGTACACCACTCAATAAATTACATGAGATATTCAACATTGTATTATAAAATAGCTTTGTGTTAGATAATTTTGTCTGACTTTAGGCTAATATAAGTGTCTGAGCATATTTAATGTAGTTCAGGCTACGCTACCATGTTTGGTAGGTTAGTTGTATTAAATGCATTTTCAACTTACTATATTTTCAACTATGTGTGGATTTATCAGAACATAATCCCATTGTAAGTTTGGGAGCATCCATCCTAACATTTCCTAGAGAATTTTAAATGTTCTTTTTTTTTTTTTTTTTTTTTTTTTTTTGAGACGGAGTCTCGCTCTGTCGCCCAGGCTGGAGTGCAGTGGCCGGATCTCAGCTCACTGCAAGCTCCGCCTCCCGGGTTCACGCCATTCTCCTGCCTCAGCCTCCCGAGTAGCTGGGACTACAGGCACCTGCCACCGCGCCAGGCTAATTTTTTGTATTTTTAGTAGAGACGGGGTTTCACCATGTTAGCCAGGATGGTCTCGATCTCCTGACCTCGTGATCCGCCCGTCTCGGCCTCCCAAAGTGCTGGGATTACAGGCTTGAGCCACCGCGCCCAGCCTTAAATGTTCTTAATGGTTTTGTTTTAACTCAATTCACTGGCAATATTTCTATACCAAAAGGTTCTTCTTCTTTCTTTCACTCACTCACTGAAGTAATATTGTCTGTCCCTTTAAACTGGTGTGTGGAGGCAGACATAAGGAAGAAAAAAATAGAGGTTCATAAAGCATTCAAAAGAAGCTCCTCATGGAGGAAGGGGTTTAAAAACCAGAAACATGGGCAGAAATGCTTTAATTTACAAAATAGATGTATTTCTGAAAAAATGTGTGAAGTAAACATTCAATTATATAATATATTGAAGCAGAAAGCTCTGAAGTATACTGGGAGAAGGCACAGAATCAGAAGTCATGTTCTAGTTTCTAATCCTGGCTCTGCTTCATTAGCCTTATCCAAGTCACTTATACACTCTCTGAACCTGTTTCCTCACCCAAAATATATGGGTAATTTTCTATCTGCTCCAAGTACTTCACCGGATTATGAGGATCAATCAATAATACAATTTTTGAAAAGTGTTATAATAAATAATTACTTGCCAAATAAAGAATGCTTTTCAAAAAAAAAGAAGAAAAGTATTTTTCACTTCAAGAAGCTTACAATCTTGAAAAGAAAAATAAGACATACTCAAACAACCATTAAAAACAGTAGAATGCTTTTACAAATAAGATGAATATAGTTTCAAAACTAATCACAGAAAAGAAAAAACTATTTCAAAATTCAATTTATAAAATGTTTCAAAATATTTGGATAAGTTTAAGCAAATAAAATTAAGTACTACCAGCACTAATATATCAATGAGAAAATGAAATAAGGTAGAATAATTTTCTCAAAGTCAAATACTGATACAGCTTGGAATTCCAGTACTATCTGAATCTGTAGTGCAATCTCATATGAGATCATTTACATGCAAACCAGATCAAACTTATTCAATGATCATATAAAAATAAATGCATTTAAACTTGAAATAGCAAATTATATACTACTGTTGATCTTAGCATTCTGGTTTTTATCTATTTCCTTGTTATCTACATATTTTCAATTTCATTTTTAGCTAATGTGGAATTTTATTTACTTTCCACTTTTAAAATAAATGCTTGAAATCTTTATTATGAGATTGCTAGTAAGGCATTTATATATTTAATCTAGAATTTGTTTAGAATCAAACATATGTGGAGTCATGTTGAGGGAATAGTCAACCATGGCAGAACTATTCTCAGATTTGGAAGAGGAAATAGATTTATCGTGGATCCTGCTATGTAGGCATTGCTTAAGCAAATAAGTTATTTACTGATAGACAAGAAAAATACATTGTCTATGTTTTTAAATCATTATTTATATAAGTTATTTCAAAACTCATTTGATATGTTAACAATTCTTTTTCAGGTTACTTCCATTAAAAAAAAAAAAAAAAAAAGCAAAAAGAATAGATAAAATGAAGGTCTGATAGCCCCCAATTTGAGATGACCAGATATTTTCCAACCAATTGATATTTATGTATGCTAGTTTATATGTGTGTTACCCAAAACTTAAAATCATAAATTAAGTTCTGCAAATAGTTCTATTAGATGCAATATCTGGAAGCAAAATTTCATCAGATTTTAGTTAGATTTGCTAAATATTTTATAAATTTTCATTGGTTGACTTCTATACACTATCCTGTTTCAATTCAATATGTATATTGTCAATTGCATTCAGTCATTTAAGACTCATCCATATGAGCTCTTGATGTTTTTATAAATTAATTTTTAAGAACTGGCTTGATTCCAAATAAACATTACAAGACAATGGTGGCAATGACAGCGACACCAGGTCTATGTATAACTTTGGCCTTTATACATTTGAAACAGATTTTAATTATTACTCAGGAAATTCATCTCATGAATTTTGCCTCCTTTACTGGTGAACTTGGAAGTAGTTGTAAGTGGAGGAGCAGAGGTTTATTATTTACTGAAAAAGGAAGCAAGTGTTTAGTCTGTGTGTGTATGATGCCCTCATGAAAAATAACATCCAGAAAATTAGTATTGTGAAAGTCTGAAAATTATTCTAGCCAAATAATGACTATATACACATATGTATTTATTCATATATGTATATATGCACATATAAATTTACATATATGTGTATATATGTATGTATAAATGAATATGTATGTATTAGAGAAGTGGCACGACAAGTCATTTTCGAAGTTTTTAGTGCTCTACCAATTCTAAAGATATGAGGTATATTTCCCATAAAAGCATCAAACATCCTTACCAACTTGATGTGAACTCTAACGATTTCAACATACTTCTTAAATCAGTAAATTTTTGCCTTATGTGATAAATGTTTTTGTGTCTGTAAATGATGTTTCCATATAGCATTGCATATTTTTTCATAAAATTTTTACTTTTATTGGTACTAATGTGGATAACCTAGAGACAAATGTATTCGTTCACATTAAATGGGAATAATCATCCAGTTAAACCAAAAGGAACCCAATAAAATTGTGAATTCTTCAGATTTACTGTAATAAAAATCAAAACAAAACTGACAAATGAATTTCATTCTACTCAAACTTCCATAAGAGAAAAAGAAACATATTTAAATTAAATGTTATTTTCTCTTAACAGTCCCATACAATATAGATCATCAAGAATGTGTTTTCATTTCTTTGTTCATTGTAGCCATTCCTTCTAATAGCAACATATGTAACCATGGTGGAATGGTAAACTTAATGTTGCCAAATTTTCTTCCTACTTTATACAATGAAATGAATCCTGAGAAACCTTCATGGTTGAAAAGCCTTAAAATAAGTAATACGGTATGTACACATTCGGATTTCCTGACTGTATTTTACTTTACAGGTGATATTTCAATCTCACACGTGAGGTCAAAATTAAGATGGTGTAACACATTATAAACTGACTTCTCCACCCTCAGTGTGGCACTCAGCCTTTGAGTGGATTCTGGATGATAGTAACCATATGTGGGCCAAGAAATGTAGAAGGGGCAGGTTAGCCAAAGGATTTTTGTGGACAGAAATATGCTCACATTCCAGCTATCTCTGCTCTGTGGCTCCTGGGGAACATCACAAACCCAGTGAAATTCCCAAGTATGGAGGTGTTTTTTTGTTTTGTTTTGTTTTGTTTTGTTTTTTAACCAAAATGGTGGTAGTAATCCACCTCTTAACATTTTGAATGGCAATTCCTACAAACTGATTTTTATTTTAAATGTTGGAGCCCTCTCATCTACCCAAGTAATTCTACAGAAGATTATATAAACAAAAAAAGAAAGTGCTCTTAATTTTTAAAAATTATCTTATAAATTATATGCCACAGAAGCACAGAAGTATCTCTAAATTTTCACTAAAACTTATTAACATGCAAATGTGCATAAGTTTAATTATCTTACCTTCTTTTAGGAAAAATTCTTAATTCCTGAGGTACATGTGTTCAGTCCAACTTGTTATTGTAAGTACCTGGACACTTTAAATACCCTATAAAAATAAACAAGTTTATTCTTAAAATTTAATATAAATCAAACAATTACCAATCAATTAATATATGCTCCACTTAATTAAAAGTCAGTTTAAATTTCTTCAAACAACCCCTCTGTCTTGTGTGGGATAATGTAATGTATGAAGGTAAAGGAATTATGGAAAGCAGGTACTGAATTTTGCAAACATTTTACTCTGGCTCATCCAAACAAATGACAATTTGTAATCACTAATCGGATTTGATGTAGTTTGAAATAATTCATTATTTAGGCTCTGGCTCTACTAAAGAATAACTGATTTATTTGAGAATTAGGTGAAACACTAACATGTTCTATTGATTTGCCCATAATACTATGATGTCATTAACATTTGTCACCGCTGATGATGAAAGGCTCACACTGACAACCCAGCTAAGCAGTAATTTCATGGCACTGTTAGTAAGTAACCGGATTTCACTTTAACAAAAGCTTTTCCTCTTTTTCTGGATAAAGGAAATATACCGAATATTTAAAGTAAATAGAAATTTTAAATAATTGGATTTTTCAAACGTGAAATTTAAAAAGTGCTTTGGAAAACTTCACTATACTAAAATAGATGCTTTGTAACATTAGTTGTACACATTTCATAGTTGAATAAATAATGTAAACAACTTAGAAAAGAAAATAAAGACAATTCAAAGCTGGGCCAAAGAATTAACATATTTGACAAAAAAGTAAAATTTGGTGAAAACAAAAAAAGTATGCAATGGAGGTTCATTAGCTAACTTATTAACCTTATTAAACATTTGAATCTTATTAAAGTAAAAAAAAAAAGATACAGGTTCTAAAGTAGTGTGTGTTCCCAATCCTTGTTTTTTTCTTACTGTACTATTTTGAGAAATATAGAATATTTCTATATTACCATATATTTAAAAATAGAATATATTATCCTATATGCATTTTTCAGCAGACATTTATTGGATCTCTTATGCTGTGATAGGATTAGATAAAATTTAGTGAATTAATTTAAGCAAATAATTTATGCTAGGTGTATAGGTAAGTTATCAGAAAATGGTACCCCAAATGTATATACAAGCATTTAAAACTCAAATGTCAATACCATACCAAACATCCCTTGGATACATGCATCATGAGATGGTGAAATTATTTGAAGCTAGTGATTAGATGAAAAACAAGTTCTTTGTGGGAGAGGAGTCAATCAACTGAGGAACTAGAATTTTTGAAGACTCATCTGGGTGGTTATTAGAATTGCTATAATATATGACAAGAATGGAGTTGAAGACACTGACAGTAAGCTACAGCTAAAATCTTAACAGAAGAGGAGAAGGGGCCCGAGGTTGGTGGAAGATTTCTCTAAGGGGTAGTAGCAGAGTAGCAGAGAATATCTACTGATGTCTGGAGAACATAGCTAGGAGATTTCAGGGAGGAGAAATGGTACTGATCAGGAAGTGGCACTGAGGAGCAAAGAACGTTATACCAATCCCAATCTCAGTAACTTAAGTGGAATGTGAGAAAAATATCACTTTTTTTTTTTTTTAGTTGGAGTTTCACCCTTGTCGCCCAGGCTGGAGTGCAATGGCGTCATCTCAGCTCACTGCAACCTCCGCCTTCCAGGTTCAAGCAATTCTCCTGCCTCAGTCTCCCAAGTAGTTGGGATTACAGGCACCTGCTCCCACACCCGGCTAACTTTTTTATTTTCAGTATAGACGGGGTTTCACCATGTTGGCCATGCTGGTCTTGAACTCCTGATCTCAGGTGATCCACCTGCCTCAGCCTTCCAAAGTGCGGGATTACAGGCGTGAGCCACCACACCCAGCCAAAATATCCACCTTTTAAAAGTCGGTGTGTGATGCAGAGTCATCAGGCTTCATTTGGGGTGATGATAAGGGGGAAATATACAGAAGTGAAAGATAAAAGGGCTTTGTTGTTGAGTTCCAGAGAGGACAGTGAAAGAGTATCCAGAGACAGAGAAAATTAGAGGATGAGGATTAGAGTCTTAGGGATCAGGAATGACTTGGAAGTTCTGAGTTCCTTCTGGTGACTGACATAAAATGAGAAAATGAACATGATGAGTTAAGTCCTAATTTTTCCTAAGCAGACAATAGTGATGAGGCTATGGAGGTCAGTGGGAACAGAGAGATGGTTATAAGGTTATGTCAGGAGTGTTCAGATTGTTCAGGTGTCCACTTAACTCTTGAGGATGGGCTTCTCTGACACAGCAAAGGGTGTGTAAATTCCTCTTGACTTCTACTGATGGACCCCTCTAGTCTAGCAATGGGTCAGCCTTTCTCCCTTGATCCTAACCAGCGGTGGCCTGTAGAACATATACCACGCGCAGGCTTCTTTCTGACATACTCAGTGTTATGAAATGACAGGATAGAAGGAATCTCAGTATTCATTTGCTTGGGACGGTCAGGGCAGTCTTCTGTATTGGTAACATTTTATCTGAGACCTGAAGGAAGACTATGCTGATATTTTGAGGAAGTGTTTACTAAACCGAAGGGGCAATAAATACAAAGACCCTGAGGCAAGATCATGAATTGACTATTCCAGAAACAGCAATAAAGTCAGCAAGCAATGCGTGAGAGAAGGGTGATGAGAGAAATATGAAGATGTAAAATAAAATATGGTTATAAATATAAACCAAATTTAAATGATAAGAAAATCAACTGCAAACATTGGCAAGATCTATAAAATACAATTCTTATTTTAAAAAAGTGTATTGATCAAATCAAAATATTGTAGAAAACATACATAAGCTACGTTAAATATAATTAAAATAACCTAATTACACAATGGAGGTTTTAACTATTTCAGGTATCTCCATTCCATATTGACTCAATGCAGTCATCATGTTGGTCGAAAATATCACTCTAATACACAGAATATTGTTGAATTCAGTCCTGTAATGACAATTAGAATATACATGTCTAACGAGAAAAAATATACATCTTCTCTAATAATGTAGAGAATCTGCTGGTACAAATGAGTTTTTCACCTATTTTTGGGGAAATTATGTGAGCCAAGCAGGTACCGGTAGATACAAAATAACTGATTCAGCCCGACAGTCTTTTTGTTTGTTTGTTTTAATTCACACCATATAATTTTTCTTTTAAAAAAAAATCTGTCAAAAGAGGTTCCATTAGTGTCAGGTAAAGATTCCTAACAAGCATACTTTTCACTTGTTCTAAATGATAGTAAAAAGTAAAACTTAAATGGGAAACTCCTACTACAAATAGATGATAATTCTTTATCTTATCTATTTCTTTTCTTTGATCCTGGTGTTCTCCTGGAAATTCTAAAGGAGTTGTGACTTAGACAAATCTGATGTCTGCTAGTTCTTACAGGGCCGTACTAAGGACAAATAAAATATTATGCTTTCTGCTGTACTTGTTTTCATTAAGCCATGATTTACTAGCAGTTAGAACTGCAACTTACACTGGTCATTTTCTTTTAAAATAACATAGTGAAATTATTGGAAAGACTTAAAGCTGTCATTAATATTGCTAGAAAAGTTCATTCCAAATTTAAAATATTTCCCTCTCTTTCTCTTCTCTCCATCCATTTCGCCTTCCATTTGTCTCTCATGAGAGGGTGGGAAGATGAGGTAATTTGGGCAATAGATACAAATAAATTAAAAATGAATCAATTAAGGTTTAATTTCATTTCACATGCAGATTTCCAAGTGATTTTTATTAGAATTAGTAGATGTAATATATATATTTTTATAATGTTATATATTATTATATTTCTAATATATAATATATAATAACATATATTATATATATTATATAAATATACATATTTCTAATGGCTTGAAGTTGTTATACTGAATATTGAATGTATACTAAAATTATGTAAATTTAAGTAATTTCAAACAATCTTATCTTTAAACATGCAATTTCAATATTTTATTAATAATCTGAAAATTTTTTAAACATACTATATCAGGCAAGGTTTCAGGTGCAAAATTAAATTAGACATACAACCAAAATATAACTTTTTAGCTGGCGGGGCTTGTTTTTTAGTTGCTTCCATACCCTCAGTGAATAGAACAGTGCCTTCAGGGAGTTACATTAAAAAATCTCTAACGAATATACATTTTATGTGAATGTCTCTATTAGAATAAATGTATGTATTTGAGTAAATGAAGGAATGTGTTCCCATCTCCTTTCCTCTGTTTTACAGAGGGAGTCACACAAATAAAGTTAGTACATTGTAGTATGTGATAAGTATAATGATGGCCATATATACTGAAGGCTTAGCAAATGTAGAAGTAAGAATCTAAATCAGATTACAGGGATTTTTGCGCTCCCAAGTCTATGAAGAGAAGATTAAAGATGAATGGTAAAGATTTATGGTACACACTTCAGGGGTTGAGATATACCTTAGGCACCATAGAACATTGCTCAAGGAAGGCAAGTACACTTTTCCAGTACCCAGAAAAATATTTAAATTTTGAAAAATGCTTTAGTTTCTATTAAAAAAGATATGCAAATTAAAAACTAAGAAATTTTAGCTAACTGTCTATTAATTTACCCCCAAACTTATCAATTGCTCAACTGAAACCTTTTCATAGTGAGATTTTCTCCCTTTGCAAGTATCTCCCAATATGCATAATAATTATTTTTTAAGATTACGGACAATTGTAATGAAGTGAAAACACACATTTATAAAATGTTTTCCAATTTTTGCAAACATGAAAACCCATAATGCTTAATATTGGGCAAAGGTAAATTTTCATATATTTAAAATATTATGGGGTGACGCCACCAAAACAAAGAAATGACACCTAGGACATCAGAAGACCTACAACACCTCTGTATCATCTCGTCTTATACTGCCTCTGATGCAGGCTGAAAATAAATGTAATTGGTCTTGAATGTGTATGGTATCTATCTTTTAAGTAAGCAACTTCTAAACCTAATTTGTTGTTGATGGTCTCTAGAGTAGAAACCTGAAACTCAAAATTTGATCATTTTTTATTTTTCAGTGAGATCA